CGGCTGGACGGCGGAACAACCGCGAGGGCTTGGACCATTCCACTCCGCGATTAAATTCTGTGATCCCATCGCCCTGGGAGGCTGAGGCAGGAGGATCGTAAAGTCGAGCCCAGGCGGGACCACTTTCAAAATCAGAAAGGCTTGGGGAGATAGCTCTGGGCTAGGGATGAGGGCCGCGGATAGTCCTTAGTAACGGGAAAAATCCGCGCCCGCCGGGGACACCTGAGTGCTGTGGTATGGGAAACGCTTTTAGGAATGAGTCGTTAAGGGGGAAAGGTGTGGATCTGGGGACCGCTTGGGCCCAGGCCCAGTGTGATCCTCGGAGCCAAGCTGCAAGCGCAGGTCTTTGCCAACCACTTGCTTTTAAGGATCCTCAGAACCTGGCTCCCACTTGTGTTACGTGAAACTTCGTGTTTTCTTATGCCAAGTCAAGTCTGCGTTTTGGTGCTGCAGAGTGAACCCAGAGCCTGGAGGCAAGCGTTCTACCCCTGAGTAGCTGCGGGGGCTGGCTGAATTCCCCAGGGTAGCTTCAGGCTTGTGATATTCCTGCCTCAGCCTTCCAGTAACTGGGGTTACAAAAGAATGACAGTCCCTTCAGGAGCCCTTGCAGCTCGGCAAGCAAAGACGGCAGTGGGGACCCCCGTCGTGGAAGGGATCCCCTGGGAGTGACAGCCCCGGCAAGCTGGAGGACTTGAAAATAGGAAGAGATGTGTGTATTCAGAGAAAGAGGAAAAGAAAGCCTTTAGCAGAAATTTCACAGCTCTGTGCTCCAGGAAAGTTGTCAGCTACCCAGGTTGTGTTTAGTGAGACGGACAATGTGGAAACAGGGTTATGGGCGTGATTTTACTTCTGCCCGAACCTGCAGTTTTACCTTTCTTTCTCTGAATCTCCGTGATTAGTTCCTCTGGTACTTTGTGGGAGAGCTGTGGAAAGGTTGGACTCCTTGTCGCCACCTCAACCTCAGAGGGAAAGTGAAATCGCTCTCCTCTGAGTCTGAAATTGGGTGCAGGTTTTCCTAGATGGTCTGGTCTCATCAGAGAGAGATGAGGAAATTTCTTTCTACTCCCGGTTTGGTGAGCGTTTTTATCATGAAATGGTGTTGAATTTTGTCTCTGCGTCGCTTGGGTTGACAACTGAAGGTTCGTTTTATTCTATTATATGGTGTATTCCATTAACTTATTTTTGAATGTTAAACCAAATTTGCATTCCTGGAAAATTAAAACTCAAATCCCGCTTTGCTACAGTGTGCAACCCTTTTTTATGTTTCTGGATTGGATGTGCTAATATTTTGTGGAGGGTTATTTTTATACCTGTTTCCACAGAGATACTGGGCTCTTCCTTGCTGGCTTCATCTGGGGGATTTTCAGGGTAATCCTGGCCTCTCACAGTGAGTTAGGAAGGGTTCCCTCCTCTGTTTGGGAAGAGTTTGTCAAAACTTGGTATTAATTCTTCTCTTAATGTTTGGTAGCTTTTAGGAGTGAAGCTGTCTGGGCCTGGGCTTTTCTTTATGGGAAGTTTATTGATTATTAATTTGATCTCATTATTTGTTGTAGAGCTATATTAGTTTGTAGGACTGCTATAATAAAGTATTATAGGCTGGGTGGGCTTAAACCACGGGAATTGATTTTCTCAGGGTTTTGGGACCTAGAAGTCCAAGATCAGCGTTCTACCTGTGTCATTTTTCATGGAGAACCAGTAAGGAAAGATTTATTCCAAGCCTCTTCCCTTGGCCGGCTGATGGCCACCTTTCTTTATTTTTTAATTTGCATTATCTGACCTTTTTAGCACTCGAATACGATTGTGGTAGTAAATGAATATGTACAGTTACAGAAAATGTTGGGTTGCTGCCCAAAATATATTTGAATATAAAAAGTAGGTGTCGAATCCTTTCAGCGGTTTGATATAATAATGTTCAAACTCAGAAGAATGGCAACACCAAGTTACTGAGGAAAACGAGTTGGCAGTGTCTGTAACTCACGATTCCAATTGTTTTGAGTGTGCGGAGGGTTCAGCCTTCCTTTCAGTTCCGGTAAGTCACTATACCTGAAACAAGACTGACAGCTGAGAAGCCACCGGCTCCGGGTCTCCCAAGCCTAGAAGAGGAAGTCACCGGCCTGGCTGATGGCCACACTGTTTCTGCTCTTCACACTGTCATCCCTCTGTGCGGGCACAGACTACGGACACTGGTCAAGAAGAAACAGAAAATGTGAACAGATTTCTTCTGGGCTGGATGGTGCCTTTCATGCCCCAAAGTGTATCTAGTGAGGCCCTAGTTGCCAGTGCCTAGAGACATGACTATCTATATAGAGGTTGTTAAATTAAAATGAGACTGTAAGGATGGGCCCCTAACCCAACAGGGTTGGTGCCCTACTATTAAAAGAGGTGGGGGAGCTACGTGAGGTGTTATTCATGGAGAAAAGGCAGGTGAAGTTGCAGGGAGGTGGCGGCCAGCTGAAGGCCAACAGGAGAGGCCTCACTTGCCTTACCTGGCAGAGCTGCCTCACCTTGATCTTGGACTTCCACTCTCTGAGACTGTGACAAAGTACATTTCTAATGTTTAAGCTACCCAGTCCACAGTATTTTGTAACAGCAGCACCAGCCAAGTAATATGGCCACCCCATAACTTGCTAGCTAGTGACTTTAGGGGGCTACGGCTGAGAGCCTGCTCTTCCTCTGCCCTGTCCCCTTCTTCCCTCCCCATCATCTCGTGCCTGACCTCGGTCCCTTTCCCCCAGATGAGAGGTTCTGAGACACAGCAGCCCCCCTTACCCAGAGGACACATTCTAAGACTCTCAGTGGGTGCCTGAACCCGTGGACAGTGCCAAACTCTCTATAGACTATGTTCTTTTCCCCTATATATGCATTTCATTTATAAATTAGCCACTGTAAGAGATTAGCAATAATAGCTAGTAATAAAATAGAGCAGTTCTAACACTGTTCTCTAATGAAAGTTATTTTAGATGTATGAACTGGAATTGCTTATTCTTGGATTTTTTTTTTTTTTTTTTTTTGAGAATTTGTTTTTTTTTTTCAGTACTGGGATTGTACCCAAGGCCTCAAACATGCCGGGCAAGCTCTCTACCACTGAGTTACATCCCCAGCCCCTTTTAATTTGTTAAGAGATAAGTCTCACTGAGTTGTCCAGGCTGGCCTCGAACTTCTCGTGCTCCTGCCTCAGCCCCCTGAGTAGTGGAGGTTGCGATTGAGTGCCACTAGGTGCAGCCTGGAGTTTTCCATGTAATACTTTCAGGCCTGGGTTGACTGAGGGCCGTTGAAACCGCAGAAAGCAAAACCACGGCTAAAGGTGGCTCTTACATTCAGTGATGGAACTGTTCCTGCTTTCAGACAGTACCAAACCCTCAGCAACCTCCCTCTTCCTTAGCCAGAAGTCAGATGGAAGGCTGGGTTTTCACACCCTTCCCTGCAGACCGTGGCCGCGGCTCCTCCGGCGTCCCTCCTCCTCCTCTGCTGCTGTGATGAGTAGTCGGGTGGCCCTGGCCACTGGGTCCTTTGTGTCCAACACCACAGGCGCTGCGCTCCTCCTCCTCCTCGCTTGGCTGGCTGTAGCCGGCAGGAGAGGGGGAAGCGGGCCGAGGCGGGTAGGGGAGAGTCTGTTCACCCCACCCACTTTCACAGAGAGGTGAATGGGGGTGGTGTGTGAAGGTGATGGAGTCCTTTAGCATGAGTTCTTGTCTAATTTGTAGTACTTTTCAAAGAAAAATAATGTGGAAAACACACAGCACACGTAGTTTTTGGTTGCGGTTCCTAGTGCCACTTTTAGGGAAGGGAAAAGTGGTTCTGCTTAGCCGGGTGTGGCAGCGGCTACCTGTCATCACTACTGTGGCTTCGGGTCCCCTCTCCATCTCCAGTGAGCGGGAGAGGATCAGGCTGGGACGGCGTGCAGCTGATCATCCAGCTGAGGTGGATGGTGCGGGAGAGGGGGCCACGCTGGTGGCTGACACTTAGACTTGTTCTGCTGACCAGCCTAGCTGAGCAAAGTGTGCCCGTGCAGAAATGGGAGCAGTTGCCAGCTGTCCAAGGTCTTGCACACCAGGCCCAGGGCTTCGCACTGGAGTTTACCAGGTATGGCCAAAATATATGGTGAATGTTTGAATTTTAAAAATTATTACAGTAAAAGACATATTATCATTAATTCTCCCCAAATACTCCCCCTGGCATTGAACACACTTATCCCATGATTCTTCGCACTTTCTGAAGCAGTTCTGGAAGTTCTCTTTTGTGTGTGTGTTTTTTTTTTCTTTGAGACAGGGTGTCACTATGTAGCCCAAATTGGCCTGGAACTTGTGGTGATCCTCCTGCCTCAGCCTTTCAAGTGCTAAGATTACAGGCATGTGACACCGTGCCTGGCCTATATATTTATGAACTGTGATAAAAAACTTACAGGGTCTGCTGCTGCTGAGTGGCAGCCAGTGGAAAGGCAGCTCATTAAAACATTATGGCAGGTCCTTACCCACCTTATTCACTGGCTCTTCCCACAGTCAAAATGACCACAAAGGTAAATGTTTTAAACTGACTTAAGGCATCAAAAGCAGCTATCACAGCATAACTAAAGACACTCATGGAAGAGAACTTGTAGAACTGCTTCAGAAAGTGGTAAAAATGATGGAATGTGTTTGAAGCAAGGGGAATATTTTGAAGAATGAATGGCAATTTTTTAACTGTAATAAATTTTAAAAGTTTTTATATATTTATTTTTGTTTTTGATTATGCCACATCTAGATGACAGTGTGCTCCTGTGGGGTGACAGGGCCGGCCAGAGCAGATTTGTGGTGTAGGAAGAGGGGAATGGATTCAGGTAGGGGAAGAACAAAGGCGCCAGGTGATGGCACACACCTGTAATTCCAGCACTTGGGAGGCTGAGGCAGGAGGAGTGCTGTGAGTTTGAGGCTAAGCTGGGCTACCCAGTGAGTTCAAGGCCAGCCTGAACTCCATAGTGAAATCTTGTCTCAAAAAGACAAAAAAGATCCAGAGATATAGCTCAAGGTACAGCGCCTGCCTGGCCAACACAAGGTCCTGAGTTCGATTCCTAGTACCAAAAAGCAAAAGCAGGACTATGATTTCCATAGTGCAGGGGCCTTATTAGTCTGTGCAGTACATTGATGGGAATCAGAAAGCAGCACCTCCATCAGGCAACTGCAACACAGAGGGGTCAAGTCTTGCTGAGCCAGTAGTGTCGTGTCTTCCTCTTGGAGGAGGGCCTGGCTGTGCCAGGTGCATGCCCGGGCTGGGGAGAGTTACACACAGCCTCATCCAGGCCCAGGGCAGGGCCCTCATGCAGTGTGCAGCCTGCTGTTCCTGCCCGGACATGTTTGTGAGCGGAAGAGCACACTGGTCATGATTACTGGGGACAAGAGCATGGATGGAGACTGTCTTCGATGGGCGACAGATGGGCCCAATACACAAAGGGGAAGGAATGGGAATTCTCAGGCCTTAAATAGCAACTAGTGCTCGGCATGATGGCACTCGCGTGTAGGCTGTAATTCCAGCACCCTAAGAGGCAGGAGGATCACAAGTTTGAGCCCAGCCGGAGCAACTTAGTGACTTAGTAAGACCCTGTCTGAAAATAAAAATAAAAATAACTGGGAGTGTAGTGCAGGGTCCTGGGCTCAATCCTTAGCACCCCCAGCGCGCACACACACACACACACACACACACACAGTGACTCACTATGAGAGGAAATTAGGAGAACCCCTGATCAGTGAGATTTCTTGTGTGGGGTCTGGGGCAAAGCTGCTGATAAAGTCCTTTGTGTTGGTAGACCTGATGAACTTGACTTTTGGACTCTTCACAAACCAAGTCTGCCCTTTTGGGACAGCTCTGGATCGGGACGGCTCCCTCACATTGTTGCAGAGACACTGGGGGACACGTGACTAAAGTAAAGCCTCCACGATTGTTCTGCCCGTTTGTAAAGTCCCTTGATGGTAACACCTCATCGTATAGTAAAGGGCAGGAACTGGACAGAAATTGATTTCCTATCAGTATTCTGTATCTGTGCTCTTAAAAGAGCTACTGCTGTGCAGGGAAATAGCTAATGATATAATTGAAGCAGCATTAATAGCCTATAAAGTGCAATATCAGAGAGCTTGAAGGACTCTCTAGAGGTCATTTAAAGCCAAGTGATGCAGAGCATGCTGCCAGCCCTGCACCTGCACCTGCAGCACCAGGACGAAGAAGTGCCTGAGGAACGCATCCAGATCATCAATGAAGATGTGTGTGTGTGTGTGTGTGTGTGTGTGTGTGTGTGTGGTTGCTTTGCATTCTGCTCACTTGTGTGATGACCTTTCACATCAGGAAGATTTCACAAGTCAGCGTGTACCAGCCTCTTCCAAGTCTGCACACTTGCAAAAGAAATTTAGATTTTGAACTTTCCCTCACTGCTCTGTGTGTGTCATGTGAGGCTGTTAAAGCTCTGAGAGCTTCGTCTCCTTATTTAACAGTCATTATTTTACACTTTAACTTTGAATTAACAGAGGGTTTTTCTATTACATCCCCTATCAAATAAACCGGGGGGCATTTTTGTTCGTGACAAGTATGTCTGTAATTAGGCACCATCCTTCCTTTGTAATGGGGAGAGGATTTGATCCGTTGGTGGTAAATGGGGCAGTGCCCTGTTTTAATTCCCCAGTTGCCTAATTCCATAATTCACCTTGGTAAATTAGAAAAATAAAAAATAAAAAAGTCTCATTGTAAGATGTTTGGGAGGACAGCAAACCAGGGTGAATAAAATATTCTCAGTGATCCAGTCACAGGAGTAACAGAGTGGCATGCTCCTAGGCAGAGGTTTCCGAGAGAGCCGCCCTGAGAGCATCGACTTCCCCCCTGGGCACAGGATCAGCTGGCTGGGTAAGCGGATGAGTCTGGCATTCCTTTCGCTGGTACCGAGTTGGTTTATAAGCTTGTTAAAGTGTTGGAATAATAGCACTCCTTTCACTGATGCCACAGATTCACTTCTTTTCTTAAGATTTACTGTGTGAACGACGAAGACGTTGTGTTGTCTGTGCCTGCAGTGTAGTGCCCTGGGAGTCAGGCTCTTAAGCAGACAGCAAGCTCATTCTAGTCCTGTTACTATTGCTACCGCCACCCTAAGGAACAGACAGAGGGCGCTCTCTCAAAGGTAATGGCGTTCACTTGGGGATGGTGGCGGGAATACAGGTGCCATCATAAGACAGGAGCTATTCCAGGAGGCTGAGCAAGGGGAAGTTTTCAAAGGCAGAATGAGGATGACTGCATGAAACAGTTTGAAATAACCACCCTTGGCTACAAAGAGCAACAGGGTGGTATCAGTCTGGGATTGAGCAGACGTCCTTGTAGAAGTATCATTATTATTATTTTTGGTATAAGTTTGCAGCAGGCTTTGGACAAGGTTGGGGATCGGGCAGAGTTTTCTGTGGTCATTTCTGATATCAGGCGTGTATACATGAGACCCCCTTCACAACCTCTGGCTTCCTTCATTTTATTTTATGTTTGGTTTGGGCTTGACAGAGTGACCTTGTTTTGATTCTGACAAGTTTGGCACTGTCAAATTTCAGATTCAATTTTCTTTTTTTTCTTTTTTTTTTTTTGTCTCTTTTGAGACAGGGTCTCACTATGCAGTTCAGGCTGGCCTTGAGCTCACTTTATACCCTAGGCCAGTCTTGAACTTGAAGAGATCCTCCTGCCTCAGCCTCCCAAGTGCTGGACCACCACGCCCAGCTAGATTCAATTTTCTTAATGCCAGGCCACCTCCTTTAGTAGCCCCTTTCTAACAACGCTTATTAGAAACTTTGTGTGTGTGCGTGTGTGTGTGTGTGTGTGTGTGTGTGTGTGTGTGTTACTTCCACTAAGGGTTCAACCCATGGCCTTGGCACGCCAGACAAGTCCTCTGAGCAATCTACAACCGAGGTACGTTCCCAGCCCTTTTTTTCTTTTTAAATTTTGTTTTGAGAAAAGTTCTTACTATGTAACCCAGGCTGGCCTCAAACTTGTGATCCTGCTGCCTCAGCCTCCTGAGTATCTGGAATTGTAGGTATGTGCCATCACGTCCCACTAAAGTACTTGTTTTTAAACAGAGGCACAGATGTGCTTGAATAAAGGGAGTGCTTTTGAAGTACTTTCTGTTGATTCTTGCTGTGTGACATGCTCTCAGGTCAGGAGAGTGAGTGAATTACGCCTTATTTTACGTCCTCATGGTTGGGAGGTGAAGCTTTTGCCCTCGTGTTCCTTAGGCTTGGTGCTAAAAGCCCACAGATCACTGATGTCCATGGTAGCAGGCTTGACTGTCAGGGCCTTGAAGGCCGCAGACTGCCCAGGAGCTTTCTTCCTGTGGAGAACATGGCCTCAGGGTAAAGCTGGGGTGAGAAGACACAGCTTGGAAGAGAGGGACTTCCTGACTCCCGGGCCCTCAGGGAGACCTGTACTGTCCTGGGTGTGGCCCGAGATCTTGTAGCCAGGGTGTCCTGGGGAGGCCCGACAGCCCCAGGGGTGGGACGCAGACCTGGTGGAGGTGTCTGGAGGTCTTCAGCACAGCGCTGGGAGGGGCGGTGATGCGGATCCCGGCAAACCTCCTACTCCCTTAGCAGCTGGAATCAAGTTACCAAGTCCAGGGAACTGGCATGATGTGGGAGAGGAACGCTCTCCAGGTTCAGGCGCTGCTCAGAAGCCATCTTGCCGGGTCTCTTTGGGTCACGTGACTGTTGTACCGCCGTACTAATAGAGTTTTTGAGAAGCAGCCCATTGGGGTCTGAATAAAAGCTATTTTAGATGTTACTGCCTTGAACCAATTGGAGCACATGAAATTCCTAACTTGGGCCTCTGCAGGCAGTTCTGGCCGGTCAAGGGTTTATGCTGTGAAAATTATTATGCAAAACGGACCCATTTCTAGCATATTCCACTGTAATGGAGTTGGGAGCCACAGGGGAAATGCTCAGGTCGTGGGCCTGTGCTCCAGGAACTACCTGCTAAGATCACGCCGATGAAAAGCCCCGCTTAACGTTAAGGCTAAGTTTACTCAGCAGCTGACAACGACCCTTTGGAATTCCCTGAAGAAACTGAGCGTTTACCTCAGCCCTGGACTCTGTTTTCTTTGCAACAGGAACTGGCCTCCTTCGCCTGGTTCCCTCCTGGGAATAATCGCCTTTCTTCTGAAGCCCAGCCAAGCCCGGGATCCTGGCTGACGCCACTGCCGCGGTTCTAGACGTCTGCGAGCCGTCTGCAGGAAGCCCAGCTCCTGCTCGCTGGGCCGCCTGGGTTTGGGCCGTGCTCCGCGTCTCTCTCAGGTCCTCCACAGACGCGTCTGCACGCCAGGCTGCCCTCCTCCACGCCTGCGGCCGCAGCTTCCGCCCTGCCGCCTTCCGGCCCGTCCTTCTTTCCTTGCCGCGAGTCCATCCAGTCCCAGCTCCCACACTTCCCCGGTCCATCCTCCCGCCATGCTCAGCCTCTGCCAACCGCTTTCCCTGGAGGCTTTTAGGGTAGGAGGAAAATTAAACTCTAGGACTGGGCTCATTTGGAATCTGGCTGCTCTATTCCTTTCTTCTAGGATGTATTTGAAAACTGTTCAGGGCCCACAGGAGGCAAAGGCATTCCTCTCCCCGCCTGAGAGCCAGCGGGGCCCAGGGAGGCCCTTGCTTCCTGCTGGAAGAGTCCCAGATCTGGTGTCTCCGAGGAGCGCCAGGCAACTCAGCCCACTGGTCTGTGTCGGGCCACCCGGCCCTGAGAACCCCAGGAAGATGACTCGCTTTCAGAGTGCTTTAGCTCACTGCATCTCCAGTAGTGCAAGCTTGGCTGGATGAGTGAATTATGTCTCCGTCTCCTGCTGATCCGTTTGCTGTTGCTTGTCTTTTTCATAGCCAGGTCTGGTGTAGGATGAAGCCTGTTTGGTATTAGGAACACCCGTCTCTGCTTCGACCCCACAGGGAGAGACAGGAAAGCAGGCAGCAGAGCCCCAGCCAGGCTCCGCCCTGTGTCTTAGCGTTCTAAGTACATGGAAAAATGCTGCTCCATCCACAGACCAACCATTAGCTCATTAAATAAGTCCTCAGACCTTGATTTAACTGTTAAGGAAGATGTTTTGATAAAGAACATCTGCTGTTGTTTTCAATTAAATATTGTACCACTAAACTTTGATTAAAAACTGGCTTAAAAGTTTAATAGCCCTTCCTCTAGAAGCTGGCTGAATGCAAAAAGAAAAATGTCACTTATTTAAATTGTTTTTTCCCCTCCTTTGTTGCTCAATTTTAACTGGATCCCTATAATGACAGCTTAAAACCCACACAGTTTTGGATGCAGTAAATCGAGATGCATAAATAAGATTACCACACCAATACTGCTGTTCTCACACTTTTACTATTGATACCTCATTTCATTTTTATGCTTTAATTAAATTGAGTATATTTATGTTTCAGTTTGCTTTAAAACAACTGCGGTGCATGTAATTGACACTATTTCATCTCTGTTAGAAAGTGCTGAGTTGGATCAAACATACCAATTCCATTTCCTTTTATATTTAATCTGTGGAAAAACTGAGACAGAAATCATATGAAATTGTATTTCTTTTCCAAGTTTCTCTGTTAGGTGAAAATAACTACTTAGTAATTACTAGTAAAGACTGAAATAAAAATCTTTATTTTCAGCATAATTCTTATCTGTATAAAAGTAGATTTTATCGCTTCCCGGCCTTTTGGCTAAGATCAAGTGTAAAAGTAGATTTTAGTAGTGCAAAGTTCTTTTACTTAGTGTTTTTTTCCAAATGGTGTGTAACAAATAAAAGCATCATTGCTATTCCATGTGCTCCATCTAAGGCATAAATCTTCAAACATATTTTAATACATTTTTACTCAAACTGTTGGGTTTAGACTAAATATTTATGTTGGGGAAATGATATTATGCTATGTTTCTATAGAGTAGAGGTTGGCAACCATTTTATGAAGGGCCAGATAGTAAATTTTTCAACTTTGCAGGCCAGACTATCTCACAACTAACATGTCTGCTGGTGCAATATGAAAGCAACCATAAGTGATATGTAAACTGATGACTGTGGATTTGTTCCAATAAAACTTTATTTACAAAGCAGGTGGGGGGTTGGGGATTTAGCTCAGCGGCCCAGCTCCTGCCTGGCAAGCATGAGGTCTTGAGTTCAATTTCTGGTACCGGAAAAAAACAAAAAAACAAAAACCAAAAAAAAAAAAAAAGTAGGTGGCAGTCTGTGTGTGACCCAGGAGCTGTACTTTGCTGATGCCTATTATCAAAGATAATGAACAGGTCCTAGACAGAGTTCGCAGTTGAGAAAAATCGACAGGTCGATTCATGATCTAGAGCTCAGAATCTACTTTTGTCACTGTAAATGTATTTCAGTTGGACTTGTAATAGTGTGTATTAATTTATCCTGTTGATTCCAGCATTACAATTTCCACCCACATCTTGTATTCTAAAGTAGGGACCTAGGCTCCTCAGCAATTTGAAAGTCTAAATTAAGTAGTCAAATAATTATCCCAATTAAAATTTGTTATTTTCTCTCCCAGGGTGGTCGCAGTTGTTTGATGCACAGACTTGGCCTGCCCGAAGCTTCATGCCGTTGCACCCAGAGTTCCAGTTGTGGGCGGGAAGAGGGTCAAGTATTGTGAAAAAGCCAAGAAATGTTTGCTTAATGGGTTTTGGAGACTGGGTGTTATTATTTCACTAATAAAAAATCGGAAAGTTATTTCTCCTAGTCTTTTGTGCAGCACGACGGCTTTTTCTTCACGTACAGATGTGCCCAAAGAACGTGCCGTGTGCCTGGTTCACGTTCCTGTGATGTTTCCATGGGGTCTTTGCTACCCAGAGCTTTCTGTAGACACAGCATTCTTATTCCAGAGCCGTCACTGGCTTCCGTGTCAACTGCCTGGTGGCAGAGTAGCTGCTGCATGGTCTGAGGCTGCTGACACGAGCGTTCCTTATTCCTGGGTATTGTCTTAGTGAGAAGTCAGAGTGGAGGTGTTCATGTCCAAAAGAATGTGGTGCACCTGCCTGTACGCAGCTTGCCTGCTCTATGCAGGGGCCAACACAGAGGCAAAGCCATCCCCTGCCTTCAGCCTCAGCATTTTGCCGTGTAGGTGACACTGTCTTGCATGTTTAAAACAGTGTTGATTGTTACTCTGCAATAGGCTGTGGGAAAAATTAGTATTTATATGCCATTTCATTGAAGGCACACTGTGTGAAAGGAAATTTGAACTTGTTACACTCATCATTTGAAGTAGGAATTTTTTTGTTTTTGTTTTTGTTTTTCTTCCAGTACCAGGAATCGAACTCATGACCTTGAGCTTGCCAGGCAGGTGCTTTGCCGCTGAGCTGAATCCCCAGCCCCATGAAGTAGGAATTATTAGAAATATTTTTCAGTACAAGCGATTGAACCCAGGGCCTTCATAGACCATTTAAAATTTTTTTTTGAGACAGGATCTGACTGAGTCACTAAACTGCCCAGATGAGCCTTGAACTTGTAATTCTCCTACCTCAGCCTCCAGGAGTGCTGGGTAATTAAGAGTGTGTGCCACCAATGGAGTTCCTGGTGCTTATGGAACGTACTATGGATTAATCTTTTCTGGAGACGGGGGTTGAACTCATGGTCTTGTGCATGCCAGGCAAGTGCTCTGTCACAGCCCAAAGCCCAGAGAATTTCAATGACCTGCCGAAGATGGCAAAGCTGGGGAAAGTTGGGGCTGAGATTATTGCTCAGGCCACCTTGGAACCGAAGCTCTTATCTTTCTCTTACGATCTATTTTGATACAGCTGCACTCAATGGCTCTCAATGCCTGTAGCTTAGTCACAGCCTCCACGGCAGACCCTGGACACAGACATTTGTTGGTAGACTTTCCTTTTTAGCACAGTTTTAAGTTCACAGCTAGATTAAGCAGAAAGCACAGGCAGCTCCTTTCACATCTCCTGAGTGGTGTATTTGTTACCATCGATGAGGCAGTGGCCACACATCCTTACTCAGAGCCCGTGGTGTACACCAGGGTCCACTCTTGGCGTTGTACACTGTGAGTTTAGACAAGTGTATGACAGCACATGTCTCACAGTACAGTATCACACACCGCCCTGCCCTAACACCCCACTGAGACTGGCCTATTTATTCCTCCTTCCCCACTAACCCTTGTCAGCTCCTGGCCCCTTTGCTGTCTCTGTGATTTGTCTTTCCCAGAATGGCTCAGAATTGGAGCTACACCAGGTGGCCTTCACAGATTGGTTTCTTTCACTTCACAAAGTGCGTACAAGTTTCCTCCAAGAACGTGGATATTTTTCAGAACACGCCAGGTGACACTAAAGTATGATCAAGACCATGAACAATGGCTTTAGACTGGTTGTTAAGTGGCCAGAGCTTATCCTCTGTTTTAGTTCCTTTTCCCTTGTTGCTGAGATGAAATACTCAATACCCAGAGTTAAAGGAGGAAAGGACTAATTAGCTCACAGTTTGTGGAGGTTTCAGTCCGTAGTGGGCCGGGTCCAAGGCAGGGTGGCATGGCAGAGAGCAGTCATGGTGCGCAGCAGGTAGCAAAGCAACACGCGGGGAAGGCAAGCCTCTTTCTGCCCCTTTTTCTCATCCAGAGTGCTGGGATCAGGGCGGTGCCAATCCAATCAGTGGGCTGATCCAGCAATCACCTGCCCTTAATCGCAGCTCTGGACCGTGAATCAATCACAAACTCTAGATTTAGCAACCTCTGAATAGCCCGCCTACCATGACTGCGTGAGGCTTTGAGGGGACCTCTAGACACAAACCATAACATCCTTGCTGTGTCTCTGTGAGTCACGGTACGCAGCCCCAGCACTCACAGACGGAGCTCATACCTTCCACGTGAATTCCCTGAGCGCAGCCTCACGCACCTGAGCTGGGTGTCCTGCATTAGCTCCATCTTACATGGGTGCAACTTCAGATTATCACCGATAGAGGCTTTGTGAGGCATCTATTATCTGACTGTTACCTTCCTCTTGGGAAGGAGCCTGGAGCGAGTCCCCTGGAGATGATGAACCCAGCTGGTCCCTGGGTTTAGAGAAAGGCGTTCAGAATAGCAGCATCTGGGCGGGAGATGAACGCGAAGCTGAGTGCTGAGACGAGGTGGTAATGTCTACAGACTGACAGCAGGAGTGAGGCCTTCTGGAAGACAGGGAACAGCCTGATGCAGGATCTGGGAGCAGGGAACCAACGAACACTTGAGCACCCAGAGTAAACCCGGCCCCTGGATAGTGAGTGGGGTAGTGACTGCGTGGCATGGTGACCTGCATGCACATGTGTAGCAGCACACACGTGTGTAGCAGCAAGTAACTGCAAAGGCCACTGTGTCCCCTGAGGTACACTTCAGCTTCATTCTTGACCCGTAGGTCCCTCAAGAGACCCAGCACCTCTCACAGTTCTTGAAAGGGGCAGCCTAGGACTCCGTCCCTTCACCTGCCTGATTGGACCAAGAAAAAATGCTGAAAGTACAATCAAGGAGCCAATCAGATGATCGCTTTTGAGAATTTAAACCAAGGCACACAGAGCTTTCGTGGTACTGGACAGAGGACGCGGACTGTGAGGGGTCGCGCATTTACCAAGAGCTGGCTGGCTGTGCCGTGCTGCTCCAGGGCTGCGGCCGCGATGGTGTAGAGGACGTTGTCCTCTTCTCCTGGATCTTAGAGCAAAGGGGGAACTGAGCAGGCAGAGGTGTGGGGAAATTTCAGAGGCAGCGAAGGCAATGAGGAATCGGGACAGATATCATCAATGGGAGGAGGGGTTACAGAAGTGACGGAGGCGGAGGGGAGGGGACCCAGGGCTGAGGCCAACAAACAGGAGGACAGTTGACGAGGGGGAGGGCTGAGTCCAGCAGGAGGCCAGAGATTGGAGGAGTCGTGTGGTTGATGAGCGATGTGAGGAGGCCCTGGTGATTTGTGGTTAATTTTTGAATCCTTTGGGTTCCAGATCTATTTTTGTTCTCTTATTCTTTCAATAACGCCTCTAGGTGTGCGTATACACACACACACACACACACACACACACACACACCCCTCTTGCGCTAGCTTGAGTAGGTCTTGAGTTCTACATACAAAAGGGCTTAAAAGGGGTAAATTGAGGGAGTTTCTGAGTGGCACCTGTGGCTTAGGGCTTTGTTCTCCCTCTGCCAGGGCTTCTGAGGAGTGCGCAGCATCTTCCCGTGCTGGTGCGGCGCTGGGGAAAACATTCCTTTTTTGAGGATGGAAAGCTTGTGATTGTACCGAAGGGTGCATTCCTCTGCCAACTGCTGGAATGAGAAAAACAACTGCCACCCCTACTGCCAGCACCTGGCCGGCCGCCACCTGTTCTTAACGCCTGCGAGGTGTGTTAACCTCGCCAGGCAGCTCCAACAGCACCTGGGAAGCAAAAACATCCTGAATTTCTCCAAACACTGCAGCAGGGCTGCTTGAACAGCACGCCATTCAGGAAATAGTCATTATCTCCACACCTCCCGCTCCGTGCGGGGGGTTATTGGATGAGCTTCAGAGGCTGCTCCCGGGAGTGCCAGGAGCTGCCAGCCTCTGTCCCCATCCGTGCGCTGGGCCAGGGGCACCAGGCTCCTCCTCAGCTCACCAGGGAACTGCTCGCATCCACACAAACAGACATGGGCACGGACTGGCAGGGCAGGGGAGGAGACTGCACCACGGAGCGCACATTTCACAGGCGCACTGTGCCAGCGGTAAAGGGAACCTAGTGGGGATGAATGCACGAGTCTTTCTTCACTTCCTCCACAGGCGAAAGGGAGGTTGCCCCGTCAGCCCTTGCTGGGGGCCCCTCTCCCCTCATTCCCCTTCCTTCCTCCGCTGGCAGCAGTCGAGGCGGACCTTCCATGAAGAACAACGTACGGTTTCGGCTGGATCATGCGCTCATCAGAGGATAGGTTGGCAGCCAGGAACTATGTGAGACTGTAAAGGTGCCCTGCACATCACAACTAGGAGTTGTGGCCCTCTGCCGTACCCAGATGTGTCTGCCTGTTCTTTTGTGGTCTTTAAACTTTACCTAAAAGTCAAATCCTTAGTCAAGGAACTGTGTAGCTCTGGTCAAGAAGCGGGTCCACTGAGCCTTACTTCCTGGGGTGGTGCCCCTGGGCATGCTGGGATAGAGCAGAGTTGCAGTGCTTTAGCTCCGGTGTGTCCAAGTATCATCAAAATGCGTATTGGTCTTAGTTCTCATGAAGTAGAGGCCCTCATGTGAAACAGAAAGGAGAACAGAGCGCTCTCGGTTGGCGCCCGATCTTGTCTGGACATTTGCTGAGGCCAGCTCAGCTGAGTCTGCCCCAGGGGGCCCTCGGGCCGAGGCTGGCAGAGCAGGCAGCCGAAATTCTGAAGCCCAGCAATTCATCAGCCAGTCCTGCTTATTGGGAACAAATGGTTTATTTTGTCACATGAATTTTAAGCTCCTTAATATCTCCTCAGCTGTATCTGGCTTGGTAAACCTCACACCCTCCAAATAAGAGCACACATTTCAGAAAAGACAGGACCGAGTATTTTGTCGACAGAAAGACCAAACCAAACGCAGTAGAAGCCAAATGCAAAAGCCGGGTAAGCTGCGTCCAGCGCATGGGCTCTGGGAGGCGCGTGTGAGGGCGTGAATGCTGCTCTGTGGCCGGGAATAGCGGGAAGCAGGCACGCGGGAGACAGTGACACGTCAGTTCAAGCCGCATGTTGACAAGGTGTATGCAAGTGTCCCT